TCGTCCATTTGAGAGCGGTGCTCGAGTGCATGCGCACGAATAAGCTGCATGCTAATGCAGACAGGTGCATTTTAGGCGCCGAAGAAATCTTCTTCTTAGGGTGCTTTATAGGGATGCGTGGCCGTCGAGCGTATCCCACTAAGATCAAGGCCATTGTAAACTGTCCGGCTCCAAAGAACCAAACGGACTTGCACAAGTGGCTTGGCCTCGCCAACTATTTGCACAAGTATAGCGCAACTTATGCGGAAATGGCACGGCCATTGTCGAATTTTCTTAAGAAGGATGTGGAATGGACCTGGAACACCAAGTATCGGAAGGCTTTTGACGGGTTCAAAGACAGCCTTCTTCATGCACCGATACTGGCGTTGCTAGACCCTGATTGTCCTTTCAGTGTCGTCAGTGACGCTTCGGATTTTGCCATCGACTGTGCGCTGCTGCAAGCAGAAGCCGAGGGGCAAGATCGGGTGATCGTGTTCGAATCTCTTCAGCTCAAGGGTGGAGCGAAAAACTTCCCAGTCCACGATAAGGAATTACTTGCGATGAAGTATTCAGTCGTCAAGTTCAGAATTCACCTGCACCAGATTATGGGCTTGCTCATGTCACGAGAGTGACATCGTCCATGACGGATTTGATCCGCCCCGCGTACGCGGGTGATGATATGTGCTTAGCACTGCTACGGGCTCCTTGGAGCAAGAAATTTGAAAACTCGCACAAAATATTGTCGTCTCGACTGCGCGCACGGTTGCACCGATATTCATAGCTGTATTATAGAACCTACACGACGGATACACCACATATTGAGGATCCTCGCGATGAGAATTTAAAGTACCGTATCCTCTACGAGGCCCACAACACCCCACTTAGCGGTCATCTCGGTCGTGAGAGGACCTACAGCTCTGTGAGTGACCACTACTGGTGGCCCAAGCTGTATAAATGAACGATCCCATATGTGAGCACATGTGAGACATGTCAAAGGTTGTAACCCTCTCCGAACGCGGCGCCGCTGACCAGTTTGTCGGTAACCTCCTGGTGCTGGTAGTACATGAATTTGACTTTGTGTTCGGCCTGTCGAAGGACTCGGCGGAAAACGCGGGTGTGGTGGTCTTCGTCGACCGTTTGAGCAAGATGGCTAGTCTTGCGGTGGTGCTGGACATGTCGGTACAGCGACGCTGTTTATGGATCGTGTCATTCGACAACATGGACTTCCGGAGTCAATTGTCTCTGACAAAGACCCACGCTTCACTGAGAAGTTTTGGTCGACGATCTTCAAGTTGCTGAGCACCAAGATGGATACGTCAACAGCGAAACGTCCGCAGACCGATTGTTAAACTGATCGCGAGAATTGCATCGTCGGGGACATCCTTCGCAGCGTCTGCGCTGAGACGCCGAGGTGCTGGAGCAGCATGCTGCCACTCGTGGAGTTTACTCTAAATAATGCAGTGCATTTGTCTATTGACTACACGGCGTTCTTCGTTAACAGGCTCGTTTATCCTCGCGTCCCGCTGACGCCGCCATCCCACGGTTCTGGGCTTGGTGGGGGAGGAATAGCCGAGCGGCTAGCTGATGTCAGCCCTCTCACTGTTCGTAACGAAGTCGATGAGTTCCTGTCTACCAGACTGAGTGTCTTGCAACACGTTCGCGATGCGATGGCTGAAACCCAATACATGCAGAAAGAATATGCAGAAGGAAGAGGTGGAGAAAATGCCAAAACGTTTGAGGTCAGAGACCTGATTTTATTAAATGCCAAAACTTTCCTACCCATGCGATTTCTACTGTCATTTAGACGAAGCTCCGTCCAACGTTTATTGGACCTTTCAAGGTTGTAGCCAAACGGGGCCTATCATATACGCTTAACGTTCCGAGAAGAAAGCGCACCCACCCAGAAGCTAGACCAGCAACTGATTTTGAGCACGGAGTGCAACGATCTTTATCTTCAACGGCGCTTAGCGCTACACCATTGCATGAAGTGACGTATTCGCCTGCTCGACAACTAGGAGCCTCTCCGACAGAGCGCGATAGTCTTCAGCTTGAGGTAGGCGGTGCACAACGTGCTCTAAGCTCTCTGGGTCTTCCGCGCAGCGGTATGCTACCTCAACATGATGCTCAGCGGAGTCTTGATCGCGAAGAACCTCGTCCTCGAGAGCTCAAAGAGCATCGCGAGTCATCGGACAACGATCGTTCCAGTCATCATCGTCCGCAGCCGACATTTCTCAACAAAAACGATGGTGTCCACTATCACGTGGAACGTCTTGTGGGTCTACATCGTCGCCAGTCAAACCAGTATCTTATGAAGTGGCAGGGTTACCCCGAGCTCGAGAATTGGTAGGAATTTGAAGTGCCACTTCGACAAAACCGCCTAGACGTTGTGGACGCTTATTATCAGAGGGATCATGGAATTCCGCGTCGTCGTACGCCCCGCGCTTCTTGGCAATAGCCGGGAAGCCGAGAAGGGCCATGAGCTGGGCTCAAGCTATGGCCCTGGGCCGCTGTTGTGGCGGACTCACCCGTGTGAGAGACCACAGAGCCGCGGGGGCGTGATGGATTAATCCATACGTTACAGGGCGACAATATGAAGGAAGTCGGCGATGCGCCTTGAGTTTAACAAACTTAAACCAAAGATAGCGCTCCAAACGCATCTCCACCTCCTTGTGGTTCCACTGTAAGTTGGACAGCGAAAAAAATTCCTGTACCGCTGCACCCGTCGCTTAAAGAGCTCATTGTCATCTGCAGCGCTTTTGCCAAAGGCGAGCTCCTTAGGAATCTTCCGCATCGCGGGTACAGAATCGCCTCCTCTTTGAGTGCAAAGTCGGGAGCAATAACTCTCCATTGGGATTTTAAGGTACCAAGAAGCGAGCTCGGATGGCTTTTTGTTGGTCAAGCTCAGCTTGTGTAGTGGCCAAGGCCCCGACCACGTCGACGCCCAACGGCCGAGTGATCACGTCCTTCGCTTCTGTAGCGGGATCCGCCGTGCCGAAGCCGTATACCACATGAGGGCCTAGAACCAACCATGGACGCGCGCGCAAAGCCTCCCAATGCAGCCACGAACCGCTGCTTTTGTGTCTCGTCGAGGCGATTAATAATTTTACCACTTTTCCCGGAAGTCGAAAGGTTGGGAAACAGACACGGTGTCCGCAAGGTTTAAGCAGGGATCATGTCGCACCGCTTGCGTACCTCACCCTCCTCTTTTTCCATCCGGGATAGGAGTATCCGACTCGTAGTCAACCACCTTTAAATCCTCGACGAGATAATTTGTCGCCCGTGACAGGCGTGGTGCTCGATTGCCGAGGGCTTGAGATGCGCTTCCCTTGAAGCCGCGGACGTGCTGTTCGAAGTTGCACCGCGTGCAGGAGACGAAGAAGGGCTCTACCCGCGGGCGCTCTCGAAACCAGCGAGGCTGGGTATATTCCATGTCTTCAACACAAGGCTCATTGAGCTTAGAGTTTGTGAAGAAGGTCTCGGTGGTGTTGTGGTGTCTTAGACACGCGAGCCTCGTCGAGGCAAAAGTAGAATGTGAGGTGTAGGTGTTCACAATCTTGATGAGGGAGAGTGCAGCGAGGTTTCACGTGCCCTGGTAGGAAGGGTGTGGGTCACACAAGATGGTGTGGATTACCAAGATGGTATGACCACACAATGGTGTGGCTACACTTAAACAACAAGTCAGTACGTGTCTGGAACAACAGTTGTTTTACAATTAATTAGGTTTTTACTATATAGATAGGAAAACCTATATATTTGGATATTGGCTTCACCGCAAATAAATCGTGAAATACAGTTTACGTTTTAAATTGTATTTAGTATTGGAGTAAGTGGATTGCGATCCACTAAACTCGTACTGGTATTGAGTACAGAGCGAGATCACCGCCGTTAACCAACTCTTCTAAGCGAAAGAGTTACGGCATCCCCGCTGCAGATTTCCAGTTTGTCACAAAGGTTTTCGGCTTGGGCTCATTAGTTTGCTTTCTGCCTTCGCATCCTCACAATCTAAAGTCTCATGACTTTTGCAATGTCAATTATGCTCTGTAGCATGAAGCAATAACAGATAAGACAAATTACTCTGCTGTCATTTGATTTAGTTTCAAAAAGGTCAAACGGACGCCATCAGCGCATTTATATCTGGCTTGCATCAGACAGCAAAACAGCACATGACGAAAAAGCATGAATAGTTTTCGCGATCTTATTGACATACAACAAAACTCCAAGTATTCGGACCACGATTTTTTAACAGGATTGTTTGATCAGTGTTTCCTAACCTCTGGCGTCCCGGCTTCTAGGCAAAAAGATCACGCCACCAATACCTTTGCGCTCACCTAAAAGCAAACAATTTGATTGATTGCCTTCCTTTTCATCGCATTAACGTAATAGTAAATATATTCGAAGGACGCGGCAGCGAAACGTAGGTTTCCAATCATTTCCAACGCATGAATAATAACCGTCATTTTCTGCCGATGTACTGACGTAATTGATGGCCAATATCTGTCCACTTGCTTGTAACTGCTCGACCAAGCAATGGCTCGACCCTTCGTCTTTTGCTGACGCAAAATCTCTTGTAAATTGATCATCTTAACCAATACATTTTATAAAGCTTATCCCGCTTACGAAAAGTGAAGAATAGTGGCGCATCATGCGATTCAACGGACGGCAACACATTCAAAGATAGCGTAAATTGATCATCTTAACTAATTGATTTTGACCGGTTTATCTCGCTCACTACAAGTGTAGATTGGCGACACATCATGCGATTCAACATACGACAGCACATTCAAAGATAGTTTTGACGGACTTTATGATACAAGTTAAAATGAAATAAGGAACTACATTGGCTAAATCAAGCGAAGCAAGCCCTATGCAAGATTCAAGATTATACGATAGCTGATAGTCAACAAACTAAGGACCTGAATATAATCACATTATATTTTGCTATATATTGCTCAAGCAAACTAAACAACAGGTTATGAGCTCAAGATCCACAGACACTGCCTACTTTTATCCTTCCTCCGGCTTTGTCTTTACCACCACCATGGTAGCCAATCCAAGACGAATCAAAAATTTGACGGAACTAATTTTCACATTAACAAGTTTAAGATTCGAATGATGCTGGTGGAGAGGGACTTGTGGGATGTTGCGAGCGGGGAGATCAAGCATGAGCAGCTGAGTGGCACGCTTGATCAGTCTACCATATCTGTCTTGCGTTGTAGGACTCGCACCTGATTTGCTCGGCCATGAAAGCGTTTGATGCATGGTTAAGATTAGAGAAATACTTCGGGAATCGGGTCCTGGCGAGCAAGCTTTATCTTCGTCGCATGGGCTTCACAAAGAGGATGAAGATGGCGACAGTGTGCTTGGGCACATCAACAAGCTCAAGACACTGGGCCCAAGTGAGTTAGGACGACTTAGTGATAACACTTCTCTGAAGTTTGTATGATTAGTAACAGCTCTTTGTTGTGGCATCCGAGTCGCATTCGCAAACGATCTTGTGATATCGCGCCTGCAGCGGGGCTGTCGTAGCTCTTTCGCTTAGAGATAGCTAGGTTAAGGTCGGTGATCTTCGTTCCACAAGTAGAACCAGTACGACTGTAGCGGATCGCAATACACTTACTCCAAGAGTAAGTACAACCTTAACACAAGGTTAATTAACTCTACCTTTTAAAATTTGAGCTGCATTTCTCGGTTTTAAATTGCGGCAAAGCCGCCTATATCTAAATCTAAAGATTTCCCTATCTATGTAAAAAACCTAATTAATATCTGACTACTGGCAGTCCAGCCATATACCGACTTGTTGTTTAAGTGTGGCCACACCATTGTGTGGTCACGCCATCTTGTGTGACCCATATTCTTCATACCAAAGCACGTGAAACCCCGTTACAGCGCCACTTGCATGAAGAGATGGAGTACAAGGAGCATATGGCGTCGGAGCTAAGCGTTCATGCTACGATATATTATGCGCGGAGACGACTTATATAGTATGTTAGTGCGTGCCATAATTGCGGCAATGAGGACATTAGACGACTGAGTGCCGATGGTCGCACGTGCGAAAATAGCCGACCGCGGAAATGATTGTTTGATTTTGGTTGGGGGGGGGCAGTTGTGACGATGCATTTTGCGAACAATGGTGTTGTGTAGACCGTCGGCCGCAGCAATGTCATCATATCTGTAGGAGCGAAGAAGGAAGTGCTTACTAATGTGTGGTACATCCCGAAGTCGTCGTACAATTTATTCTCGATTAGTCAATAAGCACGTTGGGCAAATGATTTTCGACAAAAACGCGTTTTTTACTTAAACGAAAGGAGTGAAATGGAGAATTTGTGTTCGTGAAGGAAATGAATTGTAAAAGCTTTACGCGATTCCCGTTGCTACTGAAAAGTCTGTCTGGCCAACCCTCTAGATGAATGGGGAACTCCACTTCGAAACCTCAGCACTTGCTTATATTTACAGCTACGACTATAATGCATACAAAGGACTTCATTTCATTGTCGGACAAAAAACTTGCTACTAAATTTAATTTGACATCGATAAGCGAGAGGGAGCTTTGTGACGGTCGAGCGCTTGAAGAAGAAACACGGGTGCATGCTCGGTGAAGAAACTCGGTTGCGCATTCAAACGACTTGGCAATACCGAGCAACTGTTGCTCCTGAAGTCGTGCATAGCGATATGTGTGGTTATCTACAGACCACGCTGTTTAGTGGGATGTGCTATTTTGTTAGTCTAGTGACAAGGAGTCGTGATACCGCGTCGCGTATATAATGAAGATCAAGTCAGAGGTTACAGAATTTGCTTGTTTTGTTGCATTTGCTGAATAAAACTGGCAAGCGTGGCAAGAATCTCCAAAGCGACAAACTGTGGTATCCAGTTTAAGGTTTTGCCGCCACCCATCCTAAGCTTAACGAATATGTGGATATCGCTTGTGAAGTATGCTCGGTGCCTACTGGATGAAGCATACTGGAATTTGGAAGATCGATCGGGGCGAGGCAGTCATGACAGTCATGGTCGTCGTAATTAGTGTTCAACCCGTACAGTCGGTCGCAGCAGGCGTCGCAGAGCTTTTGATATCGTACCAACCGCTGTAGAGCAATTTCACGGCGTATGTGTGTCACGCGTATGCTTACGTTTCAAACGATAAAGGCTCGAAATTTGACGCAAAGCCGTCTTATTTGGATTTCCAAATACTCGGAGCGTACAAAGACGAACTGTTTTGTGATGGTGAAAAATTGACCTGAGTTCCGGCGCGCAGTTCAAAAAAATATTTTTGACAATAAACGACATGATTAGAATACAAGCGAAAAAAAGTTGCTAGCTACCGGAGGAAGAAAATGATAGTGTTACCGGCGACCAAGAAAGGCGTGATATATCATTATGCTGCCAAAGGGACGAAAGGTGATCGGGAGTTGTCGATAACCAAAATGGCGACAATGAACGGTATACAGCACAGCTCGTCGCAACAAGATAATTTTAGAAATACGGTGTATAAGAGGAAAAATTAGCACCGGTAGCCAGATTTAGGTCAATTCGTATTGTGCTGAGCCTGGCTGTCATCTTTGATCTTCGGGCTCACCAATTGGTTGTCAAGACTGCGTTACTCAGTGATTTCTGGACAAAAAACATTTTCATGCTGCAGCCAGACAAATATGCCGACCCTAGTCGCCCGGACTATGCGTACACGCTTTAATGTTTCGCTTCTTAGGCTCAAGCAGCCGATTGACAACTTCATGGCCAAATTGGTCTTACTAAGAACAAATTCGACATCTGTGGTGCTTAATGCTGACGACTTGATTATCGTGAGCAGCGCCGATGATGCTCTGCCTATATCGACAGAACATGCGCTGATCGAGAGATCTAAGATGTCATAATCCGATAAGCAAAAAATTTCATTCGAGTAGAAATCACGAAAGATAGAAATTCAGGACTCGTTTCGTTGCGTAAAAACGAGCGCTCAAGGCTGGCTTGGAAGACTGCAAGCTGGCAAATACTTCGCAAGACCAAGGACTGAAGCAGACAAAGAACAGATGTGAAGGTGATTGCAAGCACGAGGAAACAATGAGAAACGTGCCGTGTCGCGTGCTATGGAAGATATTATGCACTTGATGGTAGCCACTTGCTCAGACTTAGCTTAATCAGTTGGAGCTTTGAGCTAGCTTGCCGCTGATCCCTGCCTGACACACTTGCAAGCCATAAGCGTATTATGCGCTACTTAAAGGCCACGCAGTCTTACGGACTTGCGCTTTCGTGGCTAGAAAATGTGGCGGCTCAAGATGAATCTTTGTATGTTTATTCTCAAGCATTCTCCCCACGTATATGTCATCTGACTATCATTGCTCCTAATTTTCATAATCCCCTTCAGGAGCGTTATAAGTATCTCCGGAAAAAGTTGGAAGGATTCATCACAGTTGCTGACCAAGATATATCTTCTAAAGTAAATCAAGTGCGTCATACTTCCTTAAACTCTAACAAACCGGAGCTTGTTCTCACGTGCTAGGGCTGGAGACAACTAGTTTTGTTACAGCATATGTAGGTATGTATATATGATGTACGGTGGATGGAGAAGAAGGAGACAACAAACAGTAGCATTCTCTTCGATTAGACGGAGTATCTATCAACAGTAAGTCAAGAAGCAATTCTGCTTAAGGTGCTCCAAAGCGATCTTGGTGAAATGGACGGCGATGACCCGATTAACATCTATGAAGACAGCCAAGATTCAACTACACTGACCAAAAATCCTTAGTTCCACGAGTGCACCAAGCACATCGACTTTGGTATCACTTGTACATGAAAACATAGAACAGTTGATTTTTTGTCCCACACACGGCAATCTGACAGGTATGATGACCTAACCGATTATTGCGGGTCGCTGAAGGATTGGCTTTAGCTTTAGGGTGATGAATCCGTCGAGCCGAGTGGGAGTGTTGTAAAGGTATCATCGACCAATTCAGACCACCGTTAATGACGGATATCACAAGTGAAGAATGGCGGAACATCATGCTACTCGGCATTCGGTGACAGCACATCCGCAGATAGCGTTTCGACTGATTGAATGATTTGATCTCGGATGAGCATAAATCAAGCTGACCTGAGATGCGGCAAGATTATACAGTTGCTAACAGTTTGCGATAAAAGGACCTGATTATATTCATATTGTGTTATGCAATTTACTGCTCAAGCAACCTAAGCAATAAATCATAACTACTCTCGCCAGCACATCCACAAAGAGACAGCTTCGCTAAATTTAACAGGCGCTTGACAAAATCGACACCGACCCTTTGATAGATTATATGTGGCTGGATATAATGAGCGCAGATCTGCTACACGCCTCGATGCTCAATCGAATCAGTTTTCTTAGACTTTATTTGGAGTATAAAGTCACATTACACCACAATATGTGAATACTAAGATCAGTCCTCTGTGCTTATTTATCAAGGTCTAGGATTCTTACTGACTGAAATGTCTCGTATCAAAAATCATTTTATGAAGTCACCTTGATGGCCTCCAACCGGCTCAAAGAACAACAGGCAAAGAACCCTCTCATATATATTTTGAAGATCAAGATGAGCAGCACTTGACAATTCTTGCCGCTAACTCGATCGAAGCGGTACCCGCAGCTGCTCTGTCACCTACAACAACATCGGTGCTTACTGATATTTCTTCCGTTGCAGTGAATATGTTGTGTAAGATACTCTCGGGTAGACCGATTTTGCCTCAGGGACTATCTAACGCACCAGTGATGTTCCACTGTCGTGTGACACATTTATTTACGACTGTCGCGCGTATAAAAATGCCTGGTGTGACGATTTAATCGTCCGAAGGTATGTTAATCGCGTGATGTCGGATAGGCATCAATATCGAATACCTGCGAGATGTGCTTGAGTGTCTGCGCTGTGAATTATATCCGAGATGTGTACCTTTAGCGCTGACGATATTCTATTTCATTGAAATGTGTGTTTCACGGACATACGCACACATTATGGGTCGTACATTAGCTAATGTTACTATCCCGAAGAAATTACAAATATTGCATGGCTAGGTCAACTATCCCCCAAAAAAATTCAAGCTACGTTTATAGGGTACGGCGTCTCACCAAACTTCTATTCAGATGGTGGATGATGAGGGGCAACAGAAACGGCGTTTCTCAGACTGTGCAAGAAAGTCTCAGCTGTGTACTTATCCTGGCGCTTTTGAAGTCAAACAGTCTCTTGATGTTGTTTGTGACATTTAGCCTTTGCCATAGACTGCTCTTTACTTCAAAAGAATACATACGAGGAAAAATACGTCATAGTGTTGGGATTTGCTAGCTTAGAGCAAAAGCTATTAAGTTTATGAGAGAGAGGGCTAATTGATGCAAAGTACTCTTGTCAAGTTCCGGTCGAAGCTTATAGTCAATAGCCGGCATTTTTCTGCAATCTTAAACCCGAGACGAAGGAGACTTCCTTATAAAACTTGTGAGTGATGTAGTAACGCTGCTGCTGTGCGCAACCACGCATCATCTATAACTATTACAGAATGCAATTATGCAAAACATAAAACTTTGAGCTATTTTATCTCAAATTATCAACCTGACCATTGAGCAAATGTAGGTTATAGGTATTTCTATGACTCAGAAACTTCCTTTGCTCCGCACTACATCAGCGCGCGTCGCGCACTCTGACCCGTTTCTAGCGGTGAAGTGCGTTAAAGCGCTCTAATATACGTTCATGCCAAATTCCGGATACACACGCTTGGCTCTTGATCATTTGTGACCGAATCATGCGGCAGTATGCACAGCAACATCATTGCCGCATCGTTTTTCAGAAAGTAGCACGATATCCTTCCTTTCCGAGTATACTGTGAGGTGCAATACCGGTCTGGTCGGTCGCTCTTGTTGAATATGGAGCGAAACATTGCAACTCGCCGCGCTCAGTAATTTTTATCAGTGTAGACAATGTTTTAGTGTTAAAGTGTGCTTTAGCAGCCATCCTGGTATTTAAATAATATCCAATCTACCCCGCGAGATCTTCTCGTTTGGCAAACATGGTGTTGCGCAACACAGGTAGCATTATTATGCTCGTACCATAACACTTCAACATAACTCAGCCCCCTCACAAGCCATGTTAGGATATATCCTTAAGTCTTTTAAATTCTATTTTGCATTAACGCAGTCGATAAGAATTTTAGCAAACATATACTTGCTTTACCAACTCGTCGTAACTGACTTTCTTGCGTATGGACAGGTGATTTATGTACTTCTCTATGAAAGAGGCCAATTGGAATAGCTTTCGAAGAAATGACTTGACCACTGCCTGCTGTCTCTCCAGCGTAATCCGAGTAATTCAACGACAATAATAAAAGTCTCATTCGCGACTGTTGCCGCAAAATCACAGGACCAAATAGTAGAGTCGACACATCATACAAATCAGCAAAGGACACAATTTCAGATCGTCTCTTGACGAGGAACAGTGTAACAAGCGATCGATGCATAGTTTTCGATGGCAGAATGCCTGCACTGCATGAAACGGGCTTTCTCATCGTTCGTTAAAATATTGAGGAGACCTTGATATTTCAAGAATTATAACCGGTACGAATTTTGTATGATTATATTGACTGACACCAAGCCAAAGAAATCGGCGTTCGACAGATTCGTGTATTCTTGCTACAACATCGTATAGTTTTGGATCATATTAGCCAACCAATCGATCGAACAGTCAAACTTTTTTGCCCTTTCATGAGGGGTGCAGTAGAAGAACTTTTGAGGGATGCTGTGGGGGTACATGGAACCCATGGAAAGTTTCATACAATATATTCATCACCCATAACACATCTTAATTAGATTTTGCATTTCAGTCAATAAGCCTAATATGAGCATTACTTAGGCTAGCCGCCCACATGTCTAGCAAACCTCTGGATATTATATGCGGTTATACAACACAATGATACGTGGCCGCGGTACTACTGAGCTTTGTTCAGAGTCCAAATGACAACAGTGTATTGTTAACAACATCTACACCACAACAAGGTGCGCATTTTGCTACATCCTTCCCTACCACGACATGAACCCGTGGGGACCCAAGTCAAAAGTCTCGTGTCAAAACTCAGCAACCCACTTTGGCGTGCGAGCTAACCTTAACATTTGGCTTGTCGAGCCGACAAGAAAGCCAGCATTCTGAGGCCGACGTCATTCAAGCCGCATTTGGTAAGGAGTGCAATATGTTCTTCGAAAAGAATAATCACGGTGACCAACCAACTCATTACCCCCGCTTCCCTTCTAGCTTCATGACCTTGCCGATGCTTGTCAATTGTAGCTTAACCGTTTGAAATTGAACGCCCACCACATTCAATCTAATCTACGCGCTGCGCACACCGTGCTTTAATCAGTGGCGTAGAGCATATGACGACCCGCTCTGACCCACGACAGATTATTTGTGCGTTTTATCAGTCTTTATCATCGACACTAAGCTTCCTTTTATCCGGGCTTTTGGTCAAACCGTCGCATTTTTGGCGCTTGATGCATCATTTATTCGTTATGAATTTGTAGATTTGCTACGAAGTGTGACCGAATTTAGTATCAGCAAATCAATCAGTATAGACCACTTTTCCACATTCAAGGCTGTAATTACTCCACATGGTGCATACGTGCTATCCAAAGAATTTATAACGATCGTAACACGCATGTTGAGGCGTAGGCGATGTTACTTACCGCAACCTTAATGGGTAGGATCATTCACTTTAGCGATGCAGTCGCTTCAACAATATTTTTTGGACCATGTTCGCCACAACTCATTTAAAACATTATGTCCGATGTAATGGTCCACTTTAGATATATCCAACCCTATACCAAGCAGCTTAAACAAATTCGCCGAAGTACAGATCTCGAAACAGCTTTGTCTAGAAAAACCTAGTCTGACTCTCCATCAATGAAGGTGTCATTGACCGCAGAGAGGTGAGCCATTTGCTCAGGCCGTCTACATTATCCTTTTTGTACAAATTTGGCTACCAGTACGTCGCGCTCACTGAGCTGTAAGTCTTTTCTCTTCAGAGATGACCTAACGTTAGCCTATACATTATTTTGTATTTTGGGCTCATTGTGGTCAGCAAACTTTAAAATTTATAACAGCGATCAAACTTGCATGCCGAAAAATCTTTGATGTCTAACATAAAAATCAGTTTTATTCTGATCTCGTTTTCTCAGTTTAGAATCTGAAAAAATCGCGATTCTGCATCCTAATGACAATTTTGTGATATGAATTTTAGGAGTCAATCTACGAATCAGAGTTTATCCCGCGGAAGATGCATAGCAACCCTGTCGCTTGTCTATTTACAATCGCCGCAGTGACGCTGTCTATCACGACAGCTAGGATGGCAGCCACGGTGGTGACCATTATTGTGATTGTTCACAGCAGCAGTTCTAGAACTAAGAATGATTCAGACTTTTTCAGGATTCTATTTGTTGTGTAGCAAACTAACACAAATTATCGTCGAACGTGATCTTCTTTTTAGCACAGTAACTCACCATTCTGAAATCGTGTAATCCTTTAAGAATTTTCCATAAATTGGCTCGACCGTATTGCCTTCTTCATGCAGACAAAAAATGGGATCGAGAACACGAGCAGCCGCATCAATTTCATCTAATGGCGTTTGAAAGTTGTGAGAACTAGCAATGCGAACAGCCGCGTCACGCGGGTTTTCGTCGTTGATCCAACCCTGCACACAAAACAACAGATTTGTTAGCAAGTTGATTACGATACAATTGAGAAATACATTGTTACCGTATCCACGCTGTTCATAAAGATGCCTTTCAGAGCAAGATCTGCGCCACATGTTCTCGTCATCATGTTTGCCGCGGCCTTTGCCATGTTTGTGTGTGGGTGGTTTGGCGTCTTGCTTCGATAAAATTTGCCCTCCATTGCGCTTACATTAATGATGAATCGGCGTGTATTTGAGCTCTGGGCACAAAAAAGAAATCAGTATATGTTATACAATATCAAGTTTACCACATACAGCTTCAAGCAGAGGGATTGCACGTTTGTTGAGAAGAAATGGCGCCATCGTGTTAATTGCAAACACTTCTACAAGCTCTGCATACATTTCACGAACAAATACATAAGCCGTTAGTAGCGCGAGCCACCAGAATTTAATACATTTGAGAAGACCCATAGTCTCAATCTGGTTGATTTTCTGAGTCCACGAGTTGGAGGTGCGCAAGTCTACTTGTTGCTGGTTGTTATCGACTTGACCGATAGGAAACAAGGCTTCCGTCTCTGAGGAATGTTCGTCTTCAGCGATGAGAGGTATCTGTGATAACTGCACAGATGCAGGTGTGGCGTCGACAAACAATGAGATATTCTCGTTAGCATTTTTGCTGCTATTTTTCTCGACACTCTCGCCAGTGCAAGCATTATCAAGAAGCTTAGCATTTCCACAAAGAAGTTCATTAACTTCCGGCATACTTTCCGGGACCGGTGCGACCTCACATTTAAGTAAGTGCTTGTAATAGTGCACGGGTCGTCGTATTGTTTGGGTTGCGTTGTTGATCAAGATATCAAGACGATGGTAAGTCGAATCAATGTGGTTCATAAACTTGTCAATTACTCCTAAATCGCGGAAATCCATGCCATAAATGTGCAATCGACCTTTCCAAACTTCAAAGTCCTTTTCCTTGGCGAATCGAAACGCGGCATCCTTCGGGAATCGCGTTGTGGCGACCACAACTGCTCCACTCCGCAGCAACTTAAGTGTAATCTCGTATCCAATCTTTACTCTTGCACCGGTGACGATCGCAATATGCCCTCGTAAGTCGGCCGTTTGCGTACGCTTTTTGAAGTTAAGCTCAGCACAGGACGGACACAATCGGTCGTAAAAGTGATGCAGCGCTCGAAATTTAATTTTGCATGTGTAACAAGCCCGGTGATAGTGCAGCTGTCTAGCACTTTTATCTTCATTCTCTACCTCGTTCTTTATCAATGGCTCATCCACCATCGCAACACCATCCGGGACATCAGCAAGCTGCGGATGCTGGATCTGTAGCACCGCCAATCGTGCGAGTCTTTCGGCGCGCAGTTTCGTGTTGTTTACGAATTGCCGATCAAGCGCCTTCTGCCTTGCACGTTCCACCTTTGTTGCTCTCTTGCGTTTTTGATGAGTTTCGTTGCTGTCTGCTGAATTTCCGTGGAAAAACTTGGCACGCAGGTCTGCGATG